TTTTTATCTTAAAAGTCTGAGATAAAGTCAAGAGTAGTGATCTATAAAAGAAAGAGATTAAGATATTAATTTAATCTAAGATTTGATATCATGTCTGACTCTGATATTCTGATGAGTGATATTATAGATAAAGAGAATAAGTTTGATACTATACAGCTTATAAATATCTATAATGAAAAGTCATTGAAGAAAAATAATAACATCTGAATAATTAATAGAGAATTTCTGAATATAACTTCATTAAGAAACTTTATAATTAAAAGAAGATTTCAATGCATATCATTTCTGATGAAATTCAGAATATAAAAGAGTAGTAAGAGCTGATAATCTGATTGAATGAATCTTTGAGCATTCAATAGATTTAGTTAATAAGTCTGATTAACAAACATTCTGTAGAAAAGACATGAAACAGAAATCTATTATAGATCTAATCTTCATGTTATAAAATCTAATAGAAAAAAGACTGTTAAACTGATTTATTAATTTAAACAAGACATTAGAATCAGATCATGAGATTATTCAATTTAATATTGAACTGAGTGAGAGATAAATGAGTGAAATTTCTCTTCTCTCTAATCAGTTTAACTTTGAAAAACCTGACTGAAAGACAGTTATTATTATTATTATTATTATTATTATTATTCTTCAATTATAGATGTATGCAGTCAGAGACTATGACATCTACCTGAGAACTTTAGTTCTCAGGGTTTTTTCTATGTCTGTAAAGTTAACTATTGTACATTCATCAATTTCAGATATGCAAAATCAGAAAATTCCAGCCCAGAATACAAAAACTGTTTACAAATTGCAGTGTTTTAACATCTTTTGATACTTTGTAACCATTTGACAATATCATGACAAAAGAAAAGAGAGAAAGAACACAGTCTCAAAGATAGACACATTAAATAGATAGATAGAAAGAAATTGAAAGGAAAAGATACAGAAAAAGAAAAAGTAAAGAGAGACTATAACAAAACAAATTCTTAAAAGAGAGTGTATAGCTGTTTTAACAGACTATATCTGATTGATTTCCTTCTCTTCATATTCAGATAATTCTGAATTTAGCCATTTTCTTGTAGCTGCTTGAGTTTCTGATAGAAAGTCTATTAAGTATTTAATTCCTGTCTCAGTTGAGAATAAGAATCTCATATTTAATTGATTTAGATCATACTTCTCTTTCAATCTGGCTCTGAGACTATTGTATAATGCACAGTGCATTATAATATGCTCAGAATTCTCATTTGTATTGCAGAATGAGCATTCTATTGAGTCAAATCTATCATCAAATCTTTGTATATAAGATTTGAAATAGCCATGTCCTAGTTTCAGCTGTATTATAGATGAGAATATTTTCTTTTTACATTTAATTGAACAAGATTTCCACTTGGGTTTTGTTTCAAATCTTGAATAATGTATACTCTTCTTTTGTTTCTGCCAGCTTTCATTCCACTTGTCTAAACAAGATTCTTTTATTTTTCTCTTTATAAAAGACCAGGACACAATTTTTTGAATAGATCTGCTTAATTCTGCACCCTTTTTTGCAGCTGAATCAGCCAATTCATTGCCATGAATATTCATATGAGCAGGAACCCAGTGCAGATGAATTCTCAGCTTTGATGTTCTTCTCTCTTGAATTTTTAAAACAGAGTTTAAGATCAGTTCAAGATTCATTTGATCATTATGAATCTGACTATTTCTAAGTCTTTTTAAAGCAGCTTGACTATCAGAGAATATCCATGCCTCTTTCAAACAATTTCCTCTTTTATGAGATTTTATTTCAATGAGTTTGAAAGCTTTCACTATTGCAAATAGTTCAGCATCAAAGACTTCACATTCAGAGCCTAGATTCCAGAAATCTGAGATAAAATTAATATTATCTTCAGTATAAGCAATGCCTGCGCCCAATCTATTCAAGTTCTCATTTTTTGAGCCATCTGAATAAATCAGAATAGAGTCTTTTATATTGATTGTAGAAATTCTCTTCAAATGCTGTTCATATTCTTTCTCTTTTGATAGTTCACTTATTTGTAAGTCTATAAGAGATTCAAGCTTTTTTCTCCAGGGAGATAACTTCTCATGATCAACTTTTTCAACATTTAAAGAAGAAAATTGATTTTTAATCAGAGAGCATAGTCTGTACAGTTGAGAAGGCATTTTCTTTGAAGAATTATTTTCATTCCAATCAAGAAATCTATTCCAATCCAGTTCATTTCCAGAGTTAATTGGTGGAAATGAAGAAGAGACTCTTTCTCTGATTATATGATTTGAGCTCATCTTTACAACTCTCAGAGCATAGTTCATACAGGCCTTTTCAAATCTAATAGTAGGAGGAGGAATTGAAGCTTCAATTTCCATTGCTTTAATAGGAGATGATTTAAATGCTCCCAGAATTCTTCTCAAGGCTCTGTTTTGCAGACTTTGAAAGAGTTCAGTGAAGTTCTCTTGATTATTTCATTAAACTTGAACTTCATAATCAGCTACTGATGTAATACAGACTATATATAACTGTCTCATAGCCTGGAAGGATAGACCCCTCTCTGTATTTGATAGTCTGATTATGTTGTTCAATAGTCTTTCTGCCTTGACAGTTCTTTGTTGAATGTGATATTTAAAATTCAACTTGGAGTTTAACCATACTCCTAACCATTTGACATTTACACTGGGTTTAATCTCTCTATTTAAAAGAGTTAGAGATAGTTCTTTCTCATTGAATCTAGGATAGAAATGAATTAACTCAGTTTTATCCATATCAAATTGAATTTGATTGATATCTGCTCTAACAAAGATTTCCTTTGCAGCTTCTTCAATTACTTTCAAATTCTCTTTGATAGTTTTTGAGCTGTAGACAAGACCAATATCATCCACATAACTCGGAGATCGCACTATTCTCATATTTCTATTTTTGAATAGATATGCAGTGTATATTGCAAATAAAATGGGTGAGATTGGAGACCCCTGTGGTACTCCTATTTTTATCTCAGTCTTGTCTTGTTTCATTCCATCAAAGAAGAGTTGTATAATTCTTTTAGACATGAAACAGTTAACTCATTTTATTAGGGAAAGTGGCAGTTTTAATATCTTCAATGTCTGAATTAACTTTGACTTTGAAACATGATCAAATGCTTCTTTTATATCAATAAAAACTGCAGTTGAGACCAGACCCTCATGCTTTGCTATTTGAATATCATGAACAACTGAGAGAACAGTGTCAATTGCAGAACACTGTTTTCTACCTCTCATTTGTTCACTGAATAAAAGAGAATCATCTATAGAGCTTATAAAAGATAGTCAAGTAGCTATTATCTTTTCTAAAACCTTTTCTAAACAGTTCAATAGCGATATTACTCTATATGACTTAGGAATTGAAGTTTTTCTATTAGGTTTTGCAAGAATCACTCCAGTGGCTTCTCTCCAGCATTCAGGATGATATCCATTTTTCAAGAGATTGAAAAAGAGCTCAAAATATTCATTCTTTAAGTAGGAATATGTATTTTGAATAATCAAGTGATTAATTGAATCAGGACCTGCAGCAGTTTTAACAGAACTTGAGAAGATAGCTGACTCTAATTCATCTTGTGTAAGATCAGGCCATTCCCAGTCATTTTCACCAATGTAGTTGAGAAGTGATATATTCTCTTTCTCTGAATCTGAATCTGAATCTGGTGAGTTCTGAAAGAGAATTCTCATGAAAGCTTGACATTTTTCCTCAAAAGAGTTTGCTGTATATGATTCATTCTGAAACTCATATTCTAGAGCTGAAAGTTTTGCTACACTTCTTGTTTTAGTATAGTTAAAAGCTTTAAAAACTTCCTTCTCTTGTGCTTCTTCAAGAAATTTATTCCAGCAGTCTGTTTTAGCTCTTTTAATATCTGAAAAATATTCATTTCTGACAGTTTTGAACTCTTTATCAGATATTACATCATTCTTTCAATCTCTTCTAGCAGTAGCTAATTCTTTTCTTTTAGATGAGATATTCTTATTTCATCAAGGTTTTGAATACTCAGAAGATTTTCTTTTTGGAATATTATCTCTAACACTTGTTAGAATGATAGATGTAATAAGCTTCACTCTATTCTCAAGCATTTCATTTGAGATATCTTGACCAGAATTTCAATATAGCTCATTCTGTCTTTCAGATTTTAACAGTTTTATGCTTTCTTCAACTGCTTTCCAATCAGCTTTTTCAAAGTTATACTGATTAGAGAGAAGAGGATTTTCACTCATTTGTTTTTCACTCAGTTCAATATCAAATTGAATAATCTCATGACCTGATCCTGATGTCTCATTTGAATCAATAAATCAGTTTACAAGTCTTCTTTCCATTAGATTTTGTGACATGAATGTTAGATCTATAATAGACTTCTGTTTCATGCCTTTTCTAAAGAATGTTTGTTGATCAGACTTATTAACCAAATCTATTGAATGCTCAAAGGTCCATTCAATCAGATTATCAGCTCTCACTGCTCTCTTGCATTCTGAATTCCACCAGGGATGATGTGCATTGAAATCTCCTGCAATTATAGAGTTTCTTGATGAAGTTATGTTCAGAAATCCTCTATCAATTGTCCAGGTATTGTTATTTTCCTTCAATGACTTTTCATTATAGATATTTATGAGCTGTATAGTATCAAACTCATTTTCTTTATCTATAATATCACCCACCAGAATATCAGGGTCAGACATGATATCAAATCTTAGATTAAATTGATATCTTGATCTCTTTCTTCCATAGATCACTACTCTTGACTTTATCTCAGACTTTTGAGGTAAAAAGCAGTAGTAGCTTGAATGAGAAATGACATATTTTTGCTCAGCATCAAAATTCGGCTCCTGAAGCAGTACAAAATCAACTTTTTGTTCAAATGCAATTTGAAGACAAGAATAAATGCAATTTGAGTTTCTATCCACATTATTTTGAATAAATGTGATTTTTGAAGAGTTTTTAAACTTTTTTTGTTGTTTTTGTTGTATATTCATACTAAAAGAGAGTAGAGAAGAATCTAATCACTATCATCAGATAGTAGATTATAACTGTTCTGAAAAGTAGGAATCTCAACTGCTTGCATTATATCTAGTTTATCACCAGAGTCATTTCTCAATTCTCTAATCTTAATAGGAGTTTGAGGATTCAAATTCTGTTTACATTTTGCTGGAGAATTGAAGTTTGAAGACTTAGATAATTGAGAGTTTCTTCTTTTTGAGCTTACAGTTGTGAGTTTACTGGCTTGACTCTTCTCTTCAGTTCTAGATTGACTTTGAGCTTCATCTTTTCTCCAGTTCTTTTGAGTTCTAGGAGCAAACATACATTCTTTTGAGCTAGATGCATGTTTTTCTTTGCAATTAGAGCACTTAAGCAGAGTATGTTGACAAATTTCACCTCTTTTTGAGCATGTTTCACATTTATGCTCACTAGTTTTGTGATCTCTGGCACAGAATGCACATTTTGAGTCTCTAAAACATGAGATTGCAAAGTGTCCATATCTTTGACAGTTTGAACACTGTGTTTGAGCTTTGAGATTCATTCTTGAGTCTTTGTATTCATGAACTCTCATTTTCAAACCTGCTACTCTTACTTCAGAGATCTTTGACTGTTCAAGTGTTTTTATATATACTAGAACAGAGGCATTTCTCCTGCTTTGTCTGAACTCAATTGAATTTAGTCATACAGGCTTCTTTCTCAGTTGAATGAAGTTGTATTCTTCCAATTCATTTTTGAGAAGTAGCATTCCTTCTTCACAGTCAAAAATTTCAACTGGAATATCATGAAGAATGAATTTGTCCCACTTTTCATCTCTTTCAGATAGAATTGTTGTGTTTAGCAATGATTCTACTGCTGACTTCCAGAGATTCTCATTCTGAATAAGGAATTCAGCACTGAATTCAGGCATTGTAGTCAGAATAATAGAGTTTTCAAAGAATGATGGCTCAATTGAAGCTATAACTGGTTTTTGAACTTCAATATCAGTCATCAACTGAGAAAAGAACTGCTGATTAATTTCATTTCTGATTCTGAAAATGAGATTTGAGTTTAGCTTGTTTCTTTGCAGAATGTCCTGGTTTGAGACTTTGAGAATGAGTCTTCTATTTCTAGAGATTTGAAAGTTTTTCTCTTTTTGCATTTTCTTTTTCACTTTTCTATGAATAGAGGCATGAGCAGTATTCTTCTCAGTTTTCTCAGGATTTTGAGCAGGTTTTGAGACAGCAGGTTTAGAGACAGCAGATTCAGCTGCTTGAGCATATGTTTTCTTCTGATTCAAAGAAGAAGAAGAAGTAGGAAGAAAGGAAGAAGAAGAGTAAGATGAAGAGTCAGTGATTGTACTAGGAATTTTCAAGGTTTTTTGAACTGTGTTTGAGATTCCAAGTTTGAACTTGATCACCTCCTGTAGTTGTCTGGCCTGAGCATGAAGAATTAACAGAACTTCTTCATTCATCTCACTCAGACACTGCTTTTCAAGAATCTTGCTTGCTTTTTCAAGTTCCTGTATTTCAAGAACTTGTTATTTCTCTATTTCTTCTTTCTTTCTTCTCTTCAGAATTTCAATCTCAGGAATAGCATTTGAGAAAGCATCTTTTTCCACATCAACTGAGTGTATTTTTGAACTCATTGTTTTCACTCAATGAAAAGTTGGTCAGACTGTTTCAATTGAGATATTTCTAAGTCTGTTTTCAATTGAAAAGTTGATCAGACTGTTTCAAAAGAAGAATAAAAGACTTTTGTGTATAAAACACCTGATTTTTTTCACACTAGTTCAGTAACTAGGTTAGATTTTTGAAGAGAATCTAATAAACTAAAATTGATTTTTAAGATAAATCAATAAAATCTTTACAATCTCTTTCTTGGGATACAGTGAGGAAAAGTATGATATCAATTGATAATAAATCAGATAATATGACAGTTTTTGAGAGAAAAACTGACAAAAAATAAATCAATTTTTTGCAGAGAAATTGATTAAAACTATTCAATTTTATTCTAAATCATTCAATTCTCCTCACACAACAAGTGTGCAACTCAAATCAGTTAATAAAGAGTGTAAAAAAGAATTAAGTATTAATGAAAGCTCTTCAGTCACTGAAAAAGTAATTCTTACTTAAAAGAATATGAAATTATGACAGAAAACAACTCTGTTTTTAATTCTTTGTAAGAATATTGTGTAAAACCCAGAGAAAAACACCTTACTTTTTCAAGAGAAGTAAAAAACTATTTCTAAGATCTTTTTTTTTTTTTTGCATTAACTGCTGCAGAAGAATGAGATAGAAACTGCTAAGATATGCACTACTGTATACCCCCTACCAAGACTTTCCCTCTTCAGGGTCTTGATATTATAGAGAATATAAGTCTGTTTCTATATGATAATATAAATATTGCCAGCGAGATGTAGAGGAACTGGTTATTTATATCTCAAAATAGAAGACTTTGTCAATGATTATATCAATATAGAGTTAATTCTCAAATTCAATAGAAACCTAGTGTTGCTGTTCTCAATCCCTTGCAGAATCTATTGAATATTGAGGTATTAAAACTAGATTTAATATATCTCACTGTGCAGGGATCAAAGGCTCAGTCAGACCTTGGGGTATACTGATTTTATAGTTGTTGGTGTGCTGTTGACTCGTTGTCCACTGGTTATGTATTGAATACTGTTGCCGAGGTATCTTTTTGTATCATTCTGCTGGGGATGGGCCAGATTGAGAGGGGTAGTACAGGGGTGAGACTTGGTGTTGAAGTCTAGATACACTGGCGGCGGACCGTGGAGGTTGCACTTCAGAAGAGTCCGTTGATTATGTGCTTGATATTATCGCCGAGGTATCTTTTTGTATTTTTCTGCCGGGGATGGGCCAGATTGAGAAGGGCGGTACGAGGGTGAGACTTGGCGTTGGTGTTTTGGAACATCAAAGATGGACAGGGTTTTCGCGGAGGTCGCTCCTCGGATATCTCCACAACTACAGGTCGGGGGTCTTCCAAAATCGAGAAGATTGGTGCATATGGCTAGGTCACTTCACCTTACAATTTGTATGGCACTCTGGCCCGGGGTTGTGGTGTGGTAGGGGAGAACGGGGGATAATCCCACACAGGAGCTTCGAACAACGTCCGGTTCACGTTTGGCTGGATAACTCCACCACCACACGGGGTATGCGGTCGGCGATGGGGTCAAAATGCTCGTATGATCGAGGGCTTTTCGATGGATCTATCGGCGGGTTCTTATTCGAAAAATCGAGCGAGTTCGTGGTGGAGCGGTTGCTGACTGAAAGACAGTTAAATAAAGCATAAAACTGTGAAAATCTGAAAGACAGAGTGAGCTGTATTGAAATTCTGATCAAGATATCTTAAATGAAATACTTGAGAATAGAGTGAAGCTCATTACATCTATTATTCTAGTAAGTGTTAAAGATAATATTGTAAAGAGAAAGTCTTCTGAGTATTCAAAATCTTGATAAAATGAGAATATTATATCTAAAAGAAAACAATTAACTACTTCTAGAAGAGATTAAAAGAATGATATAATTTCTGATAAAGAGTTCAAAACTGTCAGAAATGAATATTTTTCAGATATTAAAAAAGCTAAAACCAACTACTGAAATAAAATTCTTAAAGAAGTATAAGAAAAAGAAGTTTTTAAAGCTTTTAACTATACTAAAATAAGAAGTGTAGTAAAACTTTCAATCTTAGAATATAAGTTTCAGAATGAATTATATACAGTAAACTCTTTTAAGAAAAAATATCAAGCTTTTATAAGAACTCTCTTTCAAAACTCATCAGATTCAGATTCAGAGAAAGAGAATATATCACTTCTCAACTATATTAATGAAAATGACTGAAAATGATCTAATCTTACTCAAGATGAATTAGAGTCAGCTATCTTCTCAAGTTCAGTTAAGACTGCTGCAGAGCCTGATTCAATTAATCACTTAATTATTTAAAATACATAGTTCTACTTGAAGAATGAATATTTTGAGCTCTTTTTCAATCTCTTGAAAAATGAATATTATTCAGAATACTGAAGAGAAGTCACTGAAGTGATTCTTATAAAATCTAATAGAAAAACTTCAATTCTTAAGTTATATAGAGTAATATCTCTATTGAACTGTCTAGAAAAGGTTTTAGAAAAGATAATAGCTACTTAACTATCTTATATAAGCTCTATCAGTAATTCTATTTTATTCAGTGAATAAATAAGAGATAGAAAACAATGTTCTACAATTGATACTGTTCTCTCAGTTATTTATAATATTCAAATAGCAAAGCATGAAGATCTGATCTCAACTGCAGTTTTTATTAATATAAAAGAAGCATTTAATCATGTTTCAAAGTCAAAGTTAATTCAGATATTGAAGATGTTAAAACTGTCACTTTCTCTAATAAAATAAGTTAATTATTTTATATCTAAAAGAATTATACAACTTTTCTTTGATGAAATGAAAAAAGACAAGACTGAGATAAAAATAGAAGTACTGTAAGAATCTTTAATCTCACTCATTTTATTTGTAATATACACTGTATATCTATTCAAAAATAGAAATATGAGAATAGTATGATCTTTAAGTTATATAAATGATATTGATCTAGTCTACAGCTCAAAAAGTATCAAAGAGAATTTAAAAGTGATTGATAAAGCTGTAAAGAAAATCTTTGTTAGAGTAGATATTAATTAAATTTAATTTAATATGAATAAAACTGAGTTAATTCATTTTTTTTCTAGATTCAATGAGAAAGAACTATCTCTAACTCTTTTAAATAGAGAGATTAAACTCAGTGTAAATATCAAATAATTAAAAGTATAATTAAACTCTAAGTTGAATTTTAAATATTATATTTAACAAACAACTGTCAAGATAGAAAGACTATTAAACAATATAATCAGACTATTAATTACAGAGAGAGATCTATTCTTTCAGAATATGAGACAGTTATATATAGCCTGTATTACATCAGTAGCTGATTATGAAGTTTAAGTTTGATGAAATATTCAAGAGAATTTCACTGAACTCTTTCAAAGTCTGTAAAACAGAGTCTTGAGAAGAATTCTGAGTGCATTCAAATCATCTTCTATTAAAGCAATGAAAATTGAAGCTTCAATTTCTTCTTCTACTATTAGATTTAAAAAGACCTGTATGAACTATGCTCTGAGAGTTATAAAGATGAGCTTAAATTATATAGTCAGAGACAGAGTCTCTTCTTCATTTTTAATAATTAACACTGAAAATGAACTGAATTGAAATAGATTTCTTAATTAAAATGAAAATAATTCTTCAAAGAAAATGTCTTCTCAACTGTACTGTAAGAAATCCCGCTCCTCGCGAATTCTTTACCTCTATTCCTATCTCTCATGTAATCAATAGGGCTAGCGGCCCTTGGCTACACATAACTATATAGACTGGAGTTTGCGAATACTATTCATAACTCAGCTTGAATACTATTATATATTTAATCTCTACATTTTATCTTTCTACTGTGAATACTTTTAGTAGTTAATAGTACATATCATATCAAGCTGTAAACACCTGAATAATCACCTGTGAGCATTTATTCTTACATTTCAAGCTCAGTCAGTCAGCAACTGTCTATTATGACTGAAAGAACTAGAAACTTGTATACTTCAATCTCTGCAAACTCTACTGCAGACACTCAGAAGCAGTCATCTGAATTATGAATAATCTCTGTGAAAGAAGTCTCAGAGAACTTATCAATTACTCACAGAACATCATTCTCTGCATCTGTGATAGAAGAATTCTCTGAACTCACAAATGAATCAATCTTAGTAAAGAACATTCTTAAGCATCTCTCACAGAATTAAGCTATTTTTCTATAAGAAATGCTTACTGTCTGTAAACACTCTCAAACTGAGTCTCTAGACATGATCTTCAGAGATACTTATAAACTGAAAAGAAACTTTCTTAAGTTATGATCACTTAAGATCACTTATTGAATCACAATCTATAAAAGCTTTTATAAGTTTGTATTTGAAATTAACTCACAAGCCTGACTGTGTGACATGAAAGATGAAGAAGCTATTATCTATATAATAACAGACCTCTATTACACTGAAGTCAAGAACTGACTGAATTATCTAGAGAATGATTATAAGAGATTCTACTGATCTGTTCTCAAGATCTATTTAGAGAATAAGTTAAGAGACTCTGTAAGCTGAACAGAGAACATCTGAGTCATAATCATTAATATTAGAAAAAGAGATAAGAAATCTGATGAAAACTACTCACAGTGCTTCATAGAATTATGATATGAATTGAGATCTGTGAAAACAGAGCTCTGAAACAAGATCTGAATAATGATATTTATAAAGAGACTGAATAAAGATATACAGAACAAGATTATTAAGCAAGACTCTAAGTTCTTAACTCTGAAGAAACTGATAACTCTTATTCATCACTTATAAATCACTGTGAGAGTCACAGATCTGCAGAGAGCAGATCACTGATCAGCTCTGTAAGAGTCAGAATAACAGAGAACAGATTTGTCAGAAAAAGATAATAAGATATAGAGAGATTTATATCTGACTACTGAGCAGAGAGAGAGAGCTTTATAAGCTTCTATAAATAGAGTGTATAATAGAGAGATTAAGAAAAAGAGACTCTACTTTATCTATTCTAAATCAGAATATCTCTGTACAAACTGTTCAGATAAATTAAAATAGAAATTTGAAGAGTTACAGACAGAGTCAGTAACAGTCTTCTTAAGAGTCTTAAAGCTAACATCTGAATCTGTTACTCTCTTAATGAAAATACTTACTTACAGAGAGAGACTGTACTGTGATACTGCTGATCTGTAAGTATAGAAAGTATTAATAAACTCAGAATCTCAGATCACTGTAATGTTTCTAAAGCTTGCAGAGTGTATAAGCTGAAAGATGAAGACTGAAAATCTGCTCTTATAATAAGCAGAGTGTGAGAACTCAGATCTGAGAGCTGAGAGACTTATAAGAGTTATCTTTAAATTACAAGATCTCTCTAGAATCTGAAGAAGATTTATAGAAACTGTGATTATCACAGATATCACAGATGACATGTACTTGAAACTTATATAACTTTAAAAATACAATCTGTATATAGCTGTCTGTGAGTCAGGTTTATACTTCTGATCAGTGTTGACAGACTCACTTACAGAGATAGAATCAGTTAATGCTGTAGAGTTAATTAGAGAAGACAAGCTCATCTATATAATAACTTTGTGAGTATCTGAGAATCTTATAGTTATGAAAACTGAGCTTCAGATATCAGAGAAATACTGAGATCTTACAGAGATATTCAGCTCAGTAAAGGCAGCTGAGCTTCTTTCTCATTATAAAAAGAATCTGATAATAGATTTAATAGAAGAGCAGAAACCCTTTTAAGAATCAATCTATAAGCTCTCTTATTATGAGACAGAGGTCTTACAGACCTATATAAAGAAGAATCTAAAGAATGACTTTATCTGATCTTTACAGTTCTCTGTAGAAGTCTCTGTGATATTTATGAAGAAGAAAGATAAAGATCTCAGATTATATATAGATTACTGTAATTTAAACTTTAAGATAATAAAGAGCTGCTATTCTCTATCTCTGATTGAGAATGTAATTAACTGTCTTATGAGAGCTGTTATATTCATACAACTGAATATAATCAATACATATACACAGCTGTGAATACAGTTAAGAAATAAATGAAAGACTGTCTTTAAAACTGCACTAAGATTATTTGAATATCTAGTGATATCTTTTAGTCTGACTAATATTCTCACAGTATTTCAGTCTTTTATCAATAAAACACTTCATGTATATCTGAATATCTTTGTAATAATATATCTAAATAATGTGATGATATACTCTATAAAGAAGAAAGAACACACTGAGTATATATGAAGTGTGTTGAAGATCTTAGATAAGACAGAACTGTATGTTAAGCTTATAAAGTGCAACTTCAGTGTCTACTGAATTAATTTTCTAGAATATGTAATCACTGCAGATGATATTCAGATGAAATCTTTATAAGTTAAGACTATTTTATCATGACTGAAGTTAACTAGTATTCATGAGATTCAGATCTTTCTGAGCTTTGTGAATTTCTATAGATGATTTATCTTTATATTTATAAGAATCTTCTTAGTTCTTACAGACATGCTGAAGAGTGAAAATAAGAAGAAGTTATTCTATAAACAGAGAATGAAAAGATTATTAAGAAGAGAGAACTGTAAGAACTGTCTTATCTTAGAAGCTTACAGAGTCTTTATAAGATTGAAATAGACATTCATAGATATAGTGATACTGTTTTACTTTA